TTCTGGCTTTCCACCAAAATCCTACATGCATTCCTCTTCTCTCCCATGCGTGCTACGTGTCCTGGCCGTCTCACCCTCCTTGACTTGTTCACTCTCATCATACTCGTCAATAAAGCAACACAAGGGATGAAGCGGCGGAAACGTGAATCTAACCACATAGCCCTCTCGCGACGAGGTAGGGACATACAGCAAGTGGCTATTGCGCCCGGAAGTGCCGCGAAGTGTGGCGACTGAAGACACCCACTTCCGGTGCAGCACGCGTCATTGTCCTGCGTGACCGGGCACTATGACCACCGTCTTAGGGTTCCGAAGGATCACACCCTGTACGTCGCACAAGCAAACGCTTGAATTTGCAACCACGCAAGTTCCGGGACAGAAATACGCTGCGTGATCAGGGCTATCGCACACTTCGGGGAGGGTGGGGGGTGTGACGGATACGGAGCAATGGCGGGCTGATGGTTACTCATGGAGATGAGCCCTTCTTGAGGAGCCGCCAATTCTGCAGCTACTCAATAATTTCCCAGCATTTTATGGAACCCGAAGGTTCATTACCTTGTTCGCAAGAGCCCTCCATTGGTCCCTTTCATGAGCCAGGTCAATCCAATCCATACCATCCCATTCCATCTCTAAGATCCATTTTAATATTGTTCATCCACCTACGCCTTTGTCTTCGCAGTGGTCTCTTTCCTTCTGGCTTTCCCACCAATATCCTATATGCATTCCTCTTCTTCCCCAATCGTGCTACATGACCTGCCCACCTCATCCTCTAATTACACTTGCAGAAGAGTACAAGTTATGAAGCTCCTCATTAAGCAGTTTTCTCCAACCTCCTGTCACTTCATCTCTCTTCGGTCCAAATATTCTCCTCAGCACCCTGTTCTCAAACACCCTCAGTCTATGTTCCTCCCTTAATGTCACAAACGGTGAACTGGTGAATAATAGGACCAACTGAAGAGATTTCGAGAAAACCCTGCACCGCTTCGTGCTATAAGAATCGAATGTGAAGGAACAGACACAGCTGAAATGAATGAATGCTGATTCCAAAATAGAATGGCAAATGTTCGCGATTATCAGGAAAACTGATACAAATCATGTAAAAACTAAACGCATCTCCATTATGGCCCCGTCGGAAAAAAGAATACAAGTCGTCCCGAAAAGAGATGGGAAGGTCAATTCTCAAACGACAGTTGACAGGGGTTTCCTCAACGGGGATCGTTCAGATTGTGGTATTCTTGGCTGCGGTATCACAGAAATGTTTCGGAGGAAAATGATACCTCCATCTTCAGGATTGACAGACATCCCTGACTCACTGAACTGAGAGAAATAGAAACACGTAGCTGGGGTCCCGAAGCCGGATCTGTTCTTTCAATTGTTTGCTGTTACTTTGAAACAAAGGACTTGCACAACGTCCTGATCCACTTTCTGAAGTACAGCAATTCATTACATGGAGTTTCTTTTAGCACCGATTTAACCTCTTACATCGACTGTATCTTTGTTGCAGACCTTTCTCCTTCAAGACACAAAATTCCATAGAACGAAAAGGCAGTGAACCGTCGAAACACAGTTTTGTTAACTACTTGAGCATGTAGGCCGACACCGATATAATGCAACTCTGCTTTCCGCAGATATTTGAGCAAACAAGTGTTACAGTCAGCGCGTCCTCCCTCCGGGGTATAACGGAACCGGCGCGCGCACCGCTTTTACTTCGAATTACGAGACGGGGATTTCCGGATTTCAAATTGCAAACTCACGACTGCACGCGGGATGCGAGGTTCACAGAGCTACTGCTTTCTGGGCTGTGACGCCGTGGAGATTGTTATGGATATTTCGGAGCTACTACTCCATCTTCAGTGTATGAGAGAAAAAATTTCCAAAACTTTACGGTGTCAGGTCTCCGGTAGGATTTCGAAACTTGCCTAATAAACCGCTACTTCACGTAATTGCTTACCCACCCTAAAGATAGAGACAGCAGGTTGCTCCGAAACATCGGCAAAGTTCTGCCAATCTACTCCGTAGCCAGTTCTAAAAGACGGCTATCCAACCCGCATCCCGTATCGCCACACATTCGTCAGTAAGGTGCTCCGTCTGGATTGGTCGAACTTACGCGCAGGCGGGCAAAATGCTAGTAAGATTTGAGTTTCTCACAGCGCTTGTTACGATCAGTTCTGTTTTCCGAACACAACCCTGTGTAGTCAGCAAACATGTCGCCTCCACGCAAGACACCAGCACAAAGCATGTTCCTCCGAAACACTGGCTCACTTTCAATGGACGACACTACGGTACAACCCAGCAGATAGAACTATTCGGGTAAACAACTTGTTCTTGCTGGGAGACGTATTGGGGAGTGGAGGTGTAGATACACATTAAGCTCCACACTAGATGAAGTTGAGTGATCAGCTTCACGCCTCGGCTTCTTTACTCCTCCCAGGGAGGAGCATCCGGTACCCAGTGGCGTGCTGAGCGCTTTGTCCCTAGCAAGTCGTTCAGCTCGTGCCCTAGTCGCTATACTGACCGAGCTATCCCAGCTCCTCGGAACGCAGATATGATGGGAAACTGCAAGTTATGAATACAGGGGGACACGTGTCATTACTATGAAAACGAGAAGAACAAAGCTGAAAGAATGCACAGAAACAATCAGCACCGAATTATAAAGCAACTGGCAAAAGAAATAGGAGTAGTGCCTGGAAGGGACGGACTTCATAAGCCTGAAAATCAAATCGGTTCAGATAGAAAAAAAGAAGGAAAGAGGTAAACAGGTAATCATGCTTACCGTTATCAAAGATTGTCTGTGACTGTAGGATCTCACGTCTTTTGGACTGAAAATGTTTAGGAAGCTGTCCGGATCTGCGGACAGACATACAGTGATTATACCCTAATCATGCAGTTTTCTCCATTCCCAATCACTTCCTCCCTCCCCCCAGGCGCTCTGTTCTGAGACACCTTTAGTCCGTGTTCTTCCCATGCAGTTCTGTACATTTTAATCTTTACGCTTTCTATTATATACTCGTTCAATACAGGTTAGCTCAGTCGGTATAACGATTAGGCTACGGTATGGACGACCGAAGAATCGGGATTCGGGCCGAATGCGGCCATTAACTTCCATCCCCTATGCGCCTTCATGAAGAAGTGTTTAACTAAGCATGGGGACAGCTACACCTTTACTTTTTTATGTACGCATAATTAATATTAACCGCTAAGATGAATATGGTGTAACCGCACGTTCCTTCTCCCAGTAACTTTAAGTAAGGGGTAAAGTAAAGTCAGCCCAGAGCAGTCAGTTGCCTGACCGTTGGACTTTCCCTAGGAAGACAACAATAAACCCGGACATAACGGTCCTCAGGGGAAAGGAATGTGTGCTTTGGGGGGGAGGGGGAGGGGAAGTGAAGCGGCAACTATTAAGGGGTGAAGTTGGATTCAACAGTCGCAACTCAAAATACGGAGATCAGTGTTTCTAATTCGTAAAACACGTTAATTTTTACTTGTTGCAAGTGGTTCCGAAAGAGGGTACGAAGATGTCTTAATTAAAGTGCTTACGAAAGTGAAATTAAAACTGTTCACTTTGCAAGCTCCTCCTGATCACCCATCAGCGACCTTGAGGAGCCATTTCAACGTGGCGGACGAGCAGCCGGGAAAACCAACGAAGACGTAGTGACTACAATGGATTTCGACTTGGAACTGTAGCCGAGACGTGCCTTTAGTTCAATTACTGAGTTTCTGGACATTATCCATAAAAAAGCACGGCGATGGATAATGTCCAAAAACTCGATAATAATATAAATCGTCACTTAACTATTTACAGCTAACTTCGGTATTGTGCATGCACATACAGTATACACGTACTTGCGAAGTGCTAACATGATCAACATGATAGTTGCACAAAGTAGTTCCAGTTTCTGCCAAACAGAGCGCTAGCGCACCACTTCGATGCAGGTTAGAAAAAGGAACTGTTCTACCATCTACCGTAATTTCTTGAAATTTAACGCAGGCGAGGCCACGGAGAAACGAAGACCATGAAGACTGACCTACCGTAAAGGTCAGAACTGGGCCCGCGCTGTACAGGGCAATGGCTTACCAGTAGCATGCAGACACAACTGGCAGGAGCCAGAATCGTTGTCTACCCACAGGTTTCTCGGCCACTGCAGTTCGTTTTCATGAGTCACTACTTAGCAATTATTAGCCTTCCCATGAGTTAACACTCCCGTCTATGTGACAAATGATGACGAAACGTCATAAGATCCCCATGTGCACTGTCCAAGCATGTTATAGCAAAATAAATATTTATCATTCAAGATTTATGGCATTTTATGTGACAAGAGCGAGAAATTTGTGCTAGCAGGTTACCCGAAATATTGAAGGGATCGAAACAGCCTCAAACAATCCTAAATTCCTCCAGTTTTTAATACGAACTTGTATTGCGCACATTCATAACATAATTCACCTTAAAATAAATCTTTCATGCAGAGAAACTACCGGATATCTCTCTACATAACAATTCAGAGTTACACTACTGACCGCACCCGATGGAACATCTCAGAAACTAGTACAAAGAATTATATTATATTGTTTCTTACATAAAGTAAACTTACTTGCTAGAATTCTTGTTGCCTTCTCCCAGTCCAACAGTGAAGGTTGTAGACGTCATTTTGTTAATATTATAAGATATATCCACACAAACAATTGCGTTCAACCACTTCTAACAATACCACAACCACGATTTCTCGTTAGGCGCTAAATGCACAAGTTGAATTTGGAACACGAGACACGATTGGTTCAACAGCCAACATGTCTGTGACGTCACTGATTTGGGTATCACATTAATGAATTATTATTTGAAAGTGTGCTAAAAGTTATGTCAAATTAATGTAAATAATTACTCTACAAGTGTTCGTGTTAGATTCAAATTTTATATAAGGGAAAAATAATGGCGATAACGATTTTGACAATACAACTGAATGTCAGGTGGTGACATTCATATTTGTAACTACAGATAACGGTAGTGGTACTAGCAACAAATATGTCGCTGTGTTAGTGTTATATGTATGTCGACTTTTACAGGTTATTTTAATCATAATAGATTCTTCCATGCAAGGAATGTGGAATTATAAGATACATGTTGCTTTATACATAATTTAATGTAAATATTACATATTTAGCTGGTATTTTGACCAGAAAACAGGATGTTGAACCAAGCTGCTGTGGAAGCTCTGTATTCAGCTACATATGTAGAGAATTATCTTGATTGCGTTGAAAATCTCCCTGATGATTTACAGAGGCACCTCTCTCGAATGAGAGAGTTAGATGTCACATACCAAGGTACGTGTTTAATTGGTTCTGTTATAGCATTTATTTGAATCCTATCTGAAAATTGGCAGGCCTTCGCAAGACAAGAATTTGGGATGAAGCTGCCGTAAGAGTTCTGACGCTAACAAGGTATGTGGAATTCCTATTCATTTTGGAATAGTTGGTGATTAAGAAGTTGTTACCCAGCGTAGGCCTGTTGCATTGGTAAATCATAAAATGGTGATTTATGTTTACTGGTAAAATTTACTGTTTCATATTTTATTGATGGGTTAGGAAAAAATGAGGTTATATCTGCAAACAGTATAGTAGTCCTTTTATTTTGGTGACAGCGTTTTTAAAGGAGGTAGAGCAACAGCAGGAGTCATCTCGACGTGACTCAGACTTGGCCACAAAGCGACGCATTTTGCTCCGTATCCAGCAGTCTCTGATAGCTGCACAGGAAGTGGGAGATGAAAAGCTTCAAATAGTACAGACAATTCAGGATCTGATTGAGAACAAAGCCCGGCAGCTTGAGCTTGACTACAGGAACTTAGGTGAGTGTGTTTCATTTTCTGCTTCAGAAAGAAAATACATAAAATTGTTTAATTGGAACTTGCTGCTGCACATGGTAGCATGATCCTCAGCACAGCAGATGGATGAATTGATCAAAATGATACAGGAAACTCATTACAGTTCATGATAGACCAACATGTAAATGTGACAATTAAAAAGACAGCTGTAATCAAGCCTACATTGTTGTATAGTGTGGACTGCTCTGTTGATTTCCCTCTATAAAGAACATCACAGAGAACTGGACTGGACTCCTCTGTATTCAGGCCACAGGCCCAAATCTTTAATTCCAGAGTTCTGTGTTTGATAGAGATGAAGGTTTCGGTGCTTGAACAGAAAAGCTTACACTCCCACATGGGACTGAACTCACAACCCTCTGAATGAGAGTCTAGGATCTCACCCCCAAGCCCACCAGTTCCCTTGCATTTCTACTTCAGCTGACATTGTTAAATTAAAATTGTAATTCACTTTTAATGGCTGTTGGACCTGTATTGCATTTCATCTGCTTGACATTTTTGTTGCAGTTACAGAATGAAAACTGACAGCACTTCCAAAACTTTCTTTCTTAAAGTTTAAGTTAAGCATAAGTGTTTCATATTTTAGGGATTAATTAGGAGGTTACAGGGTTGTAAAGCCTACTGTGAAATACCACTCCTTTGCAAAGCGATTTAGAACTTACATCTATGACCTAAAGTTAAGTTAAGATAAAGTTGTGTGTGTGTGTGTGCTTAACTAATCAAGCACCACACCATGTAGACATGGGGGATTGGAGGTATAGCTCCACCATTCTTGACCCATTAGGTGAGTGATGAGCTTCACCCCCAGGGAAAGACCCCCACCCCCCAGTACCCATTGTATACAAAGATGGATGGGCCCCAGAGCTGGTCTGGTCATTGAGGAGTAGAGAAAAATCTTTATCCTCTGCTGGGAATCGAACCACATTCACCCAGCCCATAGTCCATCACTGTACTGACTCAGCTACCCTGGCTGCACCAAAGAAGTGAAAAGCTGTAGTTGTCCACATGACTTTATCAGGCACATGTTGTGCTTTGTGGTGACACATGCCTGGACCCACACTTGTTTTAGCGTGAACACCATTAGCCCTTAAGTTAATATACAGCCATTGGAAACCAGAATAGCAGGGAATAGCAGATTGAAAGCATTAACAAGATCACAATACTGTGTTAGTTTACAGGTTGAAAGAGATCATACCAGTAATGATGATTCTGAAATTGTAAGATGCTATCCCATCCATTTATCTGTTAAGTGTGTGGTGTCTGTGTTGCATAAGTACCTCACTGGTTGCAGACTTCACCAAGGACCAGGAGAATACAGAGCCAAACCGGGAGAATCACCACCATCACCACCATGGCTTGGGGAACTCTAGTGGTGGTGGCGGAAGTGGGTCTGGAGGCGGCGAGCGGCAGTCTAAACGTGCCCGCCGCACACGGACTGAACAGCTGACAACAGGCACAGATGCTGGCAACACTGCAGAGCTGCTGTCTCAACCGGATGCTACAGGCAACAGAGGGGTCAGCGGTTCGGGAGCCACATCAGGGGGCACCGGCATAGGAGGCAGCGGCAGTAGCGAGCGTAAGAAGGGTGGCAACACAGGTAAGAAAAAGAAGCGCAAGGCTCGGCAGTCACAGCAGCAACACGTGCAACAGCAGCAGCAGCAGCGGGATGAGTCACCACCCCATGAGGATGAACTTGCTATCGACCCTGATGAACCCACATACTGCCTCTGCGACCAGATATCGTATGGCGAAATGATACTGTGTGACAACGATCTCTGCCCCATAGAATGGTTCCACTTCTCATGTGTAGCTCTCGCCACTAAACCAAAGGGCAAGTGGTACTGTCCTAAGTGTCGAGGTGACCGTCCCAACGTCATGAAGCCCAAGGCACAGTTTCTTAAAGAACTTGAGAGGTACAACAAGGAGAAGGAAGAGAAGTCATAAGCAGGCATCTCTGTCTGATGTATCATATGTCTTGCGTCTCTTTTATCTATCTTCGTTCATATTTAGCACAGCTATCTTAGAAATCAGATTTTAATAATTTATGTATGAATACCCCACATTGGGGTTCCTGACGTTTAAGTGTATGTTTTAAACATATCTAAGACAGTAACATTGGCATTATAGATATATAATTTTCTTGCAGTGCAACCTGACTCAGTGTGGAATGTTGATCCTTCCTCTGAGTGCCTGTTGATGAATTTTAATAAAGTTCCTTTATCTTTCCATATTGTGGACCATTTCATTATCTCCTTCCAGAACATGACAGGAATCACCTGAAAACTGAAGTCTGCAGTGAACCAACATGTAATGGCAGGGTGGAAACATTTTTTTAAAATCTGGTAAGGTAAGATAAAGCAACCCTGTGCTTAACTAAGCACCACACAATGAAAACATGGGGTGGGGGTGGGAGTTGAAGGCATAGCACTGGTTGGAGATGGTGGTCAGTTTCATGATCAGATTCCTTTATCTTCTGGTGAGCATGGGATACAACGCCAGGTGCATTCTACATCCAGTCTAGACATGATGATGAAGTTGAACATCTCTGCCCCCTCTTTATTAAAACTGTCACAACACAAAAAATCTCTGCCCCTGTCAGGAAGTAAACCCCAATATCTTAGTCACTTAGTTGCCGTACTGACTGAGTCGCATATACTGTCACGAAAATCAGGTTGCCACCCCAAAGGTGCACACTTCCAGTCAGTGCACCAGCTTTCTTTCTTCTTCTTGTACTGTTTGGCCTAACACTTAAATGCCAGATGTAGATAATGGGCAAGATAACTCAAATTTTACCCCCCCCCCCCCAAAAAAAAATAAACAGCTCCTGAATGCTGATTGAGAATCATTCAAAGGCTAAAATTGTTCGGTTGCCACTGACAACCAGGCAGCCATCTCATGGTATATTTAAACTGCCCCAGGGTGAGGTGCTTTGAAACTGGCACTCTCTGCCATTGAGTGACATTGCCAGAAAGTAAAGAGTAAAATATTTACAGAATTAATGCTGTCTTAGGTAACAGGATGTAGACATCTACCAACTGCAGCATGGGGTTGTTAAACGAGGACACAGTACAATTGAAGGACCTAAGAAGACACAAGACAACCAATCACAAACAGAGGCACAACAGACCAACAGTGAAGCTGATGCCAATGATGCAGTACTGCTTGTGTGCAAGTTCCAAAAACGCAGTTTCATTTTAATGCACTCAACTCATCAACTAGATCAGTTTCAGTCAATAGCATTCACTTTAACGTGACTGCTTGCTGGCGGGGGGTGGGGAGAAGGGGGAGTAGAGCATTATGAGAGTAGTGGAGGAGGAATGGAAGATGAGAAGGGAAAGTTCACCTGGCTAATGTCTGATTTACGTGAGATCAACATCGACACAGCTGTCACGTAAAGCAGGGCGATTGCTGTCACCTGAGACATTACCACTCATCCTCCTAGATTTTAACCAACCTTTTGGAGGAATGTGCTCTTTCCATCTTCAGGATGGAACACTAAGCCAATCACCGAAAAGGTTATATGGATGTACAGAGAGGGACCATTATGCTACAAGCCAGAAGGCTGTGGTTTGATTCCTGATGAGGTCATTGGATTTTTCAATTGTTCTAAACCTTCCAGCCGCACTATGGCCCTGTGGTCAACTCAGCCTCTAACAGAAATGAGTACCAGGAATCTTCCTGGTGGTAAAGGTCAGCCGGTGCATAAGGCTGACAACCTCACCGCCATCTGTGAGCTGATTGTCTAGAAAATGTGGGAGCCTAAGATGGCACAACCATATGGACCTCAATGGCCTGTTACTGTGATAGCTTTACCTTGTAACTTTGTAGTCACCTCTATGAGAATGTTAAATGAGACCTGTAACATGTCTTCATGACATGGGCTTAAACACAGGGACACTTTTAGTTGTATAATCAAGGTTTGGTCAATAGAATGTTTGTCGAAGTGGTGTGACCATGTTATGGTGATGGTTGTGGTAATGTTGAAGAACCCCAGGATGCAGATGCTTGTCTTCTGGGATATAACGTCACATAGTCCATTGAAGTACCTGTTACTTGAAGCCCTTGCAGCAGTGACTACATGTACCACCTTGTAATATGGTAAAAACTTACCAGTGTTTTGGAGGAATGTACCACCATTTTCAGGGCCAAAGAGTAAGCAAAGAATGCATGAAGCAAGCACGAAGCTCTGCTAGTTGTTTGGCTTACTTTTTGATCCTGAAGATGGAAGCAGTATGTTTATATGAAACATAGTAAACTTCACAGTATCACTATCTTCAGACACTGATACTCATTGTATCCTGTTATAACATTTTAAGGGATAAGACACTGAGAAAAAGGCATGGTATATGTATGTACATGTGTGTGACTTTATTTCTATGAACAAACTACAAATTCACTGATATGGTCACAGGTCGCAAGTGCCACAGCAGGGCTGTCAGACTGCAGGCAGCACAGACACTATGAACTGCAGTGCTATCCCTGCAGTTTCATAGCAAATTTAGTGATGCTCTTCCAACTGGATAAGTTGTACAACATCGAATGAAAGACTGACCACAAATGATATCTGGAAAAGCATGTGAAAGGATATGTGACGTATTTTAAATATCCCATTCTGAAATTTGAGGTTCACTTATTAGTGGCTATGAAGGTTACCCTGCTGTGGGATGTGACGCTGTGTAGTCTGGTAGACATTTACCAAGAGAAACCTGCTAACACCATCTTCAGGATGTCACTCTTCTACCCTGAAGATGAAGGCAAAAGATTCCTCTAAACATTAAATATTTACCAGACTACACAGCATCACAACCAGAAGACAGTAATCTTCAAGTTGAGCAGCAGTAGGTGACTTCCCCAACAAGAAGCTGCAGTGCTGAGTGTTACACAGTGATTCTCAGCACTGCTAGTTCAATTCAGAATGCAGTTCTGAACATGTAACACAGCGGTAACGTGTCTGAATCTGAGAGGGGGCATTTAGCTGGTCATGATGCTTTGTAGAACTCTGCGGTTCTGTAAGGAATGCAGAATGCTTTAAAGGCGTGTGTGTGTAACAAGTCGAAGTAGGGCAGTACTTGTTGCAACGTTTGTCAGTCCATCGTCAGGTTACTTTTGTTGAAACCAATTGGAAAACTAATTTCAGTTTGTTATGACAGGACCAGAAGATGGCAGCAATAAATTACAGATTTTCAGTCCATATGTGAATATTATCAGTTGTGTTACAATGCATCAATGGGAAGACGGTGTGTGGAAACCATGACTAGTCAGGGAACTGTCAAACTCACTGTTGAATTTTCAATGGGAGTTTTACTCACTCACTCATGAAGCTGAGCCCTTGTTGAGAAGCCACCGATTGTGCAGACTCAAGAACTTGCCAGCATTTTACGGAACCCAAAGATGCATCACCATGTTCACAAGAGCACACCATTGGTCCCTATCCTGAGCCAGAGCACACATCCTATCTCACTAAGATCCATTTTAATGTTATCCACCCACCTATATCTCTGTCTTCCTAGTGGTCTCTTTGCTTCTGGCTTTCCCACCAATATCCTATATGCATTCTTCTTCTCCCCCATTTGTACTACATGCCCTGCCCACCTCATTCTCCTTGACTTGACGATTCTAATACTTGGCAAAAAATACAAGTTATGAAGCTCCTCATTCTTTAGTTTTCTCCAACCTCCTGTCACTTCATCTCTCTTCAGTCCAAATATTCTCCTCAACACCCTGTTCTCAAACACCCTCAGTCTATATACCTCCCTTAATATCAGAGACCAAATTTCACACCCATACAGAATCACAGGCAAAATTATAGTTTTCTATATTCTAATTATTATGTTCTTTAGGCAGCAGACAAAAACACAAAAGCTTGTGGAATGAATGGTAGCAAGCATTACCCAAATTCAATCTCCTCATAATTTCCTCCTGAATCAGGTTTTGATTTGTTATAGTCATTCCCAAATACGAGTATCTGAACTGTGCTACATTTTCAAAACATCTGTTACCTATCTCTAAGTCATGATTTTTCCTTGCATTCTGGTGACAAGACAGTAACATATACTTAGTTTTCTCTGCATTTACTTCTAGACAAATATCCTTACCGAGCATCAATTAAAATTCATGTGTTTTTCTTTACAGTATCTATATTATCCCCAAGTAGATTCACATCATCGGCACAGACAAACAGCTGAAGTGAATGGAAATTTTACTAGTATACCTAAAATTATGTGAAAGCAATCATGTTTATCACAAAATAAAAATCAGATAGCAAAAAACTGAAAGAAAAAGGATCAAAAAGAAGGGAAGAAGTTGCTGCCAATCACAGTGTCTGGCTATATGCAGTCCGTCCACCCGACAGTAATGGTACTATACAATGCAGTTGAGTGATGGGCACCAGGCCTGTCTCATCTTCCAACTGATATGCATCTTTATATATTGCACAAGAAGTGACAGCAATTAACAACAAACTTTATCTGAGGTACAGTTACCTGAAGTGGTTTCATTCACAACACTGTTCATTGCAGCAATACAAAGACACAAACAATGATGGCACATTGCCCATGGGAATGTGTCTCATTTATCTCCTGAAACATCAAAAGCAAAACTTAACTCAGTATTTACTTATGGTTTGTACCTCCTAGAAAACATTTCAATCTATCTTCACTGGAAATAATGTGAAAATTCCTTATTATTACAGTGAAAGGTGGTAAAGTAAAGGTAGATCTGTCCCCTGTAACAGGCCATGGAGGCACATAGGGTTTAAGACATTGAGGCTCCCACATTTTCTAGACAGTCAGCTCATGCCGGCCAACCTTTACCCCCCAGGAAGATTCCTGGTACTCATTTCTATTAGAGGCTGACTCAACCCCAGGGCCCATAGTGCAGCTGGGAGGACTAGATCAATTGCAAAGTCCAGTGACCTCATCAGGAATCACACCCGTGACCTTCCAGCTTGTAGCATAGTGCCTCATCCAACTACACTACCGCATGGCCCATGATGATAAATGATACCAGGATTTATTTGAAGGGAGGGTGAAACCAAAAATCTTCATACAAATGTACATCTAAGAACAATTTTGCAGATTGCTATAGACATTTGGATATCTATATTGAAAGAAAGATGGTGCCATATTTAAAAATTGAAATACTTGGTATTAATATTTATAAATATTATATTTCCTTGTTTCAAGTTTGATTTTTCCCAAAAATCAAGGGAGGGAGATGATGCCAGGCACCTCCCCCCACCCTTCTACTAGCACCCACAGTTATGATTAAGTTAATAAGTAAGAATGAGGTAGGTGGAATATGCAGCATGCATGAATAAAATGAGAAATCATCGTCGAATTTTGTTTCGGTATGTCAAGGGAAGAGACAACTTACAGACCTAAATATAGATGGAAGAAGAATGTTAAAATGAATTTCAATCAAGATATGCAATGGATTCATTAGGCTGAGGATGGTGATGTCCAATATCAGACATTTGTTACCACAGTAATGAACTTCGTGTTTTGTAAAAAGAGCAGATTTTTTTGTCAGGTGAATGAATACCAGGAGATAGACTGTTTCTGTATGCAACATTTATTAAATGGTCTTTAATCAAGATATGCTGTTTTCTTGGAGGTAGGGACCAAATTGTTAAATATTATTCAGATGTTCAAGTAGTTAAACACGATGCTTGTGTATTAGCTTCTGGTATTGTGAAAGAATCATTGTCCTGTGTCATTGATAACAGATATCCGAACGTTCATCACAAGGCCTCAGAGGTATGAGCAAATCCTGCTTCAAGAGTTCTCTGTTTTTCATCTATTATCCTCAAGCCATGATGATTTAAACAGATGATGTAGCATTTATATTAACAATGAAGATATCCACCAAGCTGGGTGGAGTATTCTTGAATTATTCCCAAACTACATTAAATTAATTTTAAAAAGTTGATAATATTAACAACATTTTTAAACAGGTAAAACATATTGTATATTTGTTCTATGTTAACCTTTGTTCTGAAATAAATCTGCTTTAATAATGAAGCAAAATTTAACAAAAATTATAATTTAAATTCCAAGTCTGATTTTTTAAATAATTGCAAAGCACACAGAAAATGTATTAGCAAAATCAGGTAAAAGTTAATTAAGTGTTATACATTAACATCATCAGATTTATATTTCATGTACTTCCTAACTACTCTGATTTGTAAACTTACAGACACAAAGCTCTTTCTTTGATGAGAGTAAGTACATCTTGTGTCACAGATTTTGATTGAACAGTGAGTGCATCTGTTGAAGATAGAAGCACTCAAGCAGAAATAATACAGCACTACTTTGATTATTGCATATAATACAGTAAACTCATAGTTATCCAATATCCAGGCATCTGGAATTCTAGTCCAGCAAAAAAAAAAAATTGAATATTTTGCATGTTTATAAAGTTACTCAAAGACAAATCTGTGATGTGCATATGTTCACCAGCCATGTGGTAGTTCTTCCAGCTGCCACTAGCAGTGCTACCTGTTATTCACCCTAACATCAGTTCCTTTACAATAGAGGGTAGTGGCGTTTATCACACGTTGAAAGACTCCAGTGCAAGAACTAAAGCAAAATCATATTGCTGTGAAGGATTTAAGGTTTTTACAGTGGTGCTTATTAAGAGTTCTGCCTTCCATGACATAATGTCATCACGTCCGTCAAAAGTCAACCGATGTTTCAGAAACACGTGTTGCCTCCATCTTCAGGGTTGAAGGGTAAGCTAAGCAAGAAACCATCATGAAGCAGGCAGCGAGCATGCTTGTGTTACATCCAAGAAGATAGAACTCTGTGTAGTTCTGACTTTGTATTGGACTTCTGTAAGAGTTTCATTCATGTAATGGGAAACCCCCCCCCCCACCAAATTCCCCATAAATACCAGATGATTGAGAGTTTAGTGTATACTATAATGTTTTTAACATTATAAGCCTCAGGAACACTTCTAGACTAGTACAAGTGAGTGACTGACTAGATAATTTGGTGTTACAGCTAAAACTGGTTGCCATTTAATTATATTTCTGACTGCTTGGTAATCTGGTCCACTATCATGGCATAATACATAACATTTGCAATCTGATGACACTAAATCCAATGAGCGTTTTTGAATTCTAATTTTATATCAGCTCCTTGTAATTATAGTGTGTGTCTGCACTGTGGACATTCAGGTTATAGAATTTTTCCCTTACATAAACTCTAAAAATTACCATAAAATTCATGATAACAGGCCAAAAGCAGGATAAATTTACATTTTTTTAACACAAAATGCTAAACAATAATAAATTTTACCATTTGCTAAGAAATTCAGATCACACAAGTGCATCCACAGACAATGCTGGTAGCATGGTTGCTATTCCCTTCTTACATTAGACTGTGCAGTGTATTGCTCTTATTCAAGATGTCTGAAAAGAGGCCATCAGGTTCAAGTGCATCTGAAAGAGCACTAAAAGTGTACTTACTGTTCCTTTTGATGAGAAAAAAATGCATTCTTTTCTCTCAACCATGGATCAAACCATTTTCTGCTCTTATAACATGAAAGTTTATGGAAAAATATGGTTTGCATTATGGAATTTTACAATATGGACACATTTTAAAGAACATACCCCTTCTGTCTTACAGGGGCATGTTGTACTTATAGCATAGTCCTGTGACATTTATTCAAGAATATCTTCTATGCTGTGTTCCTCTGGTATGTGGTTACTGCTGATTTCTATCTGAACTATTATGATATTAATGTCCTGGTTGTCCACAGAGAGTTATTTATTCTTCATGCTGTGCCGCTGCTTGTTGTCTGTCAAGATAATACTGCCTCTTTCCTGTTTCTCGTCCTCATCATCATCTTCATCATCCACAAACTTTATGTCATCTTCGTACGGAGACTTCTCCACTTGTGTTTCCTTTTCTTCTGGTCGGTGTTGTGATCTGGCAGTCAAGCCGACATCTTTTTCAGAATAACGGTTGTTCCGCAGCTTCTCCTTCCTGCCACTGTCCTGCCCTCTACATATTAAAGGGATAAATTCCATAGTTCCCTCTGTTTCACTTTTTTGGTGCTGCAGTCTGGTTACTGGCTTTGTGTATCTGTTGTTTACTTTCTGCTGAACTTTGGGAATAAATTCAGTGACATCATCCATGTCACTCACTGGTTGGTGCTGCCACCTATCAGACTGATGTCCATTCTGTGCTTTGGGTATGAATTCTGTTAGCTCATCACTGTCACTACCTGACTGGTGCTGTGACCTAGCACCCATCTCAAGTAGCTCGCCGTCCACCTCCCATCGGCCAGGAGCAAAAGGTGGGATCCAGACAAGGTACTGTGGGTCCATGCCCAGGAAGGAGCCAGGCACGGCCCCTGCGTTGCTAACATTGTAGTCATAGTAGTCCAGCTCAAGGTCTGTGTCCCCTGCAGCCAGACTAAGCTCTGAGCATCCACTGGCCAGCAGTCGCTCCAAGTTGCACTTCTCCTTCCGCTCCTTCGCGCTGTTCTTCTGTCGGCTGTTTGGTGAGCCCCATCCCTGCATGCAACAGATCACATGACAAAGAAATGAGCATAACAATGCACATGGCAAACTCATTAAGTGAATGTCAGGACCAAGAAACAGTTGAAGGAACTGCAAAAAATAGGAAGAGAAATGAAGGCCATACAACCAAATAATGTTTGTCTGTAAGAGGCTCTGCTAACTAGTCCACTGCATATGACAGGCCACATGATTTCTTTTTTGTTTCAGTTACGAAGGATGTATCAAATGTTAAAGTTGTATGATCTCAGATGAGAACTTGATAATTATGAATAATGACCTGGAACATCTTTCAAGTAAATAACACTTACTTACTTGGTTGGCCGCACCATAGCTCAAGCGGTTAGTCGCTGGCTTCCCACTACGGCGGCCCGGGTTTGATCCCGGGTCTGGTCAAGTGGGATTTGTGGGACACGTTTTCTCTGAGTACTTCGGTATCCCTTGCCAATCTTCATTCCACCAATTGCTCCACAATCACCCTCACCTATTATCTGGGGCTGGTACAATAGGCCAGAACTGGCCACAGTACAAGGGACTTAGTCCCACCCCACTAGCAATAAAAAAAATACTTACTTACTTACTTATGGAGCTGAGCCCTTCTTGAAGAGAAGCCAAATCTGCAGATACTCAAGAATTTCCCAGCATTTTATGGAACCTGAAGGTTCATTACCGTGTTCACAAGAGCCCTCCACTGGTCCCTATCATCAGTCAGATCAATCCAATCAATACAATCCCATCCTGTCTCTCTAAGATCCATTTTAATATTGTCCACTCACCTACGCCTTGATCTTCCCAGTGGTCTCCTTCCTTCTGGCTTTCCCACCAATATCCTATATGCATTCCTCTTCTCCCCCATTTGTACTACATGCTCTGCCCATCTCATTCTCCTTGACTTGATGATTCTAATACTTGGCGAAGAATACAAATTATTAAGCTCCTCATTCTGTAGTTTTCTCCAACCTCCTGTCACTTCATCTCTCTTCAGTCCAAATATTCTCCTCAGCACCCTGTTCTCAAACACCCTCAGTCTATGTTCCTCCCTTAATGTCAGAGACCAAATTTCACACCTATACAGAATCGCAGCAAAATTATAGTTTTGTATATTCTAATTATTATGTTCTTTAGGCAGCAGACAAAAACACAAAAGCTTCTGGAATGAATGGTAGCAAGTATTCCCAGAGTTCAATCTCCTCTTAATTTCCTCCTGAATCAGGTTTTGATTTGTTATCGTCATTCCCAAATATCTGAACTGTGCCACATTTTCGAAACATCTGTTTTCTATTTTATGTCATGATTTTGCCCTGCATTTTGGTGTTCAAGTAAATAATATCTGTAAAAAGTATAATTTAATATCTCCACTATGAAAACGAGGTAACTGTATTAAGTAGAAAGAAGGCAATTGGATCAAAAATAGTTTGAGAAGATAAGATATAAGAATAAGTGAAACATTACAGTTATTTAGGATGTGATGTCTGCTTTGACAATGATCACACAAACAATGAGAAAGCAAAGCACCAAAGGTTATGTGGAACAATAAAATGTATGTTTAATGAGGAAATTAAGAAAATTAAGATTTTTATGAAGTCTCTGTAGTCCCTGTTCTATTGTGATTTGGAGTCATGGATTTTTGAGGAGCAGAAGATTAAATTAAGATTACATCAGCACAAATTAAACCCCTATACTCTATGAAGGGATGTACAAGGGAGGACAGAATACCAAATCAATAATTTAGAAAATAGTTACAGATATCTGCAATCCAGGCTAAAAGAACAGCATATAAACATTTCTGGAAGTTGGATCAAATGAATCCTGACTGTCTACCAGGACAAATTCTGGATATACCAGCCAAGATGGAAAAAAGATATAAGCAGACCTGAGAAGGGATGGAGCTGCAGTTCAGAGTTCTTCTGCCTAATTCTGGAATGCAGAGGAGGAGGAGGAGGAGGAGAAGAAGAAGAAGAAGAAGACGAGGAAGAAAACTGCAGTGAATACTCAATAAGGACAGCTCAACTAGTCACTGGACTGAAGCTGGAATCAAGGACTTCCTGAACACAAAACAGGAGTGCTAGCTGTCACACCATAACTTTCAGTTGTAAAAGAGATCGTGGGAAGTCAGAAATATTGAAGGGGACTCTTTATTCATGCTTTTATAGTGAAATTTTGGAGGATACTTCAAAGCGTTTCAGTTTATGTCTTATACCATCTTTGAAGTTTCCTGCAATATCACTGCAGTATCTTCCCATTTCTTCAGTGATTTCTGGACTAACGCCAGTCAATCATTTGTAGGATCGATACAACATGGACTGTGATTCTAAGAAGAAGATTGTAGAATTTTACTATAAATATATTTTTGTCTCCTGCTATGTGTCACATCTAATGCATTCTCAAGTAGGCAATCAGCATCTCATTGTTGTGATGAGCACATATAAAATGGAGACATTGCATCATGTATTCTCAACTTCTCTACAATGGGAGGCTAGGTGAAAAATCAGTAAGCTCAAACAATCACGTATTTTCTGCATAAATTACTTCTGCTTCATGCCTGGGAGACATTCAGTTCAGATCTTGCTCAACAGACCAATTTCCTAATTTTTCTCAGTCCCTCTGGGTTGGGTCACAAGAATGCCCTTGTAACCACTCCCCTACTTGGCACACTATGTGACACACACTGACAAGCATGAAACAGATGTTACATAACCTACACAGCTATCAATGCTTGACAGTAGCTTGTGCCACCATTGAGCCAGCATCCTACAAGAGAAGCTAGTAGGTTACTCATAAGATTGCCCTTGCAACCGATCCCTTACTTGGCACACTGTGTGACACACACTGATGAGCATGAAACAGATGTTACATAACCTACACAGCTGGCAATGCTTGACAGTAGCTTATGCCACCATTGGGCCAGAATCCTACAACAAAAAGTATTAAGTTACTCAGCATGAGGACACTCAGGTGCTTACATTGCTCAGGGTGGCAACACTGCTCCATGAAACTGCGCTGCTGGGAGTCGCACCGAGATGCTGGCGTTGGCTCCTCACATCCTCTCTCACCACGCTGCACAACACAAACATTCTGTTATTGCCATGGGGTGGTGGGTTCAAGTCCTGGAGAGACAAGGACAACATGGTGTACCTGTGACTCTGGGGTTCTTGTGGTGTTCGTGTTGGTGTTGGTGCCTTCTGGGTCGCCTTGTCAGGGGAGAAGGTTGTGGATCGGCGCAGGGGGGCAGGGGAATCTCGGGGGGTGCAGGGCAGCGAGGCCAATGGTGGTCCTACATCTGATGGCTGATCTACAGTCAACTGTTGCTCCTGGTGGTGAGCTGTGGTACTACTGTCTCCTACCACCTCATACTCCCTACGGCATACACCACAGTTGATTGTCTGTTAAGTAATGAACTGAACATAAATGCATGACTCCATGTAGCAGGGACAAACATGGAACTATACCAATCACTGATTCGTCATAGCAAGGAGTCTCAGGTTCAATGCTGTCATGTAAATCTGACTCTTTAACAGGTGTTCTAAACACAAACTTGAGTCACATAAACCATTCTAACATCAAACACAAATCCATAGTGCCCAGCCTGAGGTCATGAATTAATCCATGGCAATCATTACGTTTCCAAACATGAATTCATAGAGACCACTAAAAGGTAAAAAAAATGAATCCATAGCAAATACTGGGAGGTGAAACATAATGTAAATCCACAGCAATCATTGTGAGGTCACACAATTACAGCAAAACTGTAAAGTTGGACATAAAGCTATGTGGAAGCCTGTTTATGCTGCTTGCTGCACCAAAAGGAAGTATGCTATTCTGTTAGGGCCACTTGATAGCATAGTTGGTTGAAACACTATGCTACAAGCCAGAAGGTCGTGGGTTTGATTCTGCATGAGGTCACTGGATTTTTAAATTTACCTACTCCTTCCAGCCACACTGTGGCCCTGGGATTGACTCAGCCTCTAACAGATATAATTACCAGGAATCTTCCTGGGGAGTAAAAGGTGGTTGGCATTTAAGGCTGACAACCTCACCACCATCTGTGAGTCGACTGTATAGAAAATATGGGAGCCTTGACATCTCACAACCCTATGGGCCTCTATGTCCTGTTACAGGCACAGCTTTACCTCTATCATCCATTCTTTTAAATTTTATGCAATGTTTAGAGCTGTGTGTTTGCAGCTTATAAAATTTACATGCAAGGATCTGTCACTTGCAGAAGGGAGCTGACAACTGTGGTTCTCTGTCACTGCACTGAAATGTAGAACTCACGGCTCCGAGTCGAGACCCTCATCCCGTTCTTCCTCATCACAAAGCCTGGTGTGAACGGTGGCACAACCTGGCCGCAGCCTCTTGATGCTGATGACCTCACTCAGAAGAGTGGAGCATGATGGGGCAGAACCAAGTTCGCTGTCCCGCGACATCGCCAGCTGATACTTCTGGTACCGGAACAGTGACTGAGCAGCCAGCAGTGCTGACACCAACAGCACAACTGCCACGAAAACTGCAGCCAGTAAGTGCACCATGGACAGCGCGGGACTGTTTGCAGAGAGCACAGCCACTTCTTCCAGGGACAAGGTCATGTTCCTGGGCAGAGGGGCTGCAAGAGCAGGAACACTGAGGATAAATTCAGGGTTAAAGCAGCCTAATGCAGATCGCAGTAAGGAGAAAGTCAAGCTACTTAGCCCTCTTACAACGTCTTCATTACAAAAACTGCTCCTTCAGTTTAAAGACCTAAATAACAGATGTTCAGTTCCTACCTCACAGGAAAATAGGCTATGGTCACTTCCTCCTCTACCTATCGACATCAGAACAAAATACAAATCCATTCAGATGATATGATCTTCCTCAACCAGTAGGTCTTCTGCCTCGTTTCTGGTTGAGTGTCTAGTTCAAATCTCGGCTGGGACACCAGCTTTCCTAACTAATGTGCTTTGTGATTTTCATCAGGTTATACATGAGATGCCACATATCACTTCCCTCCTCCTCCTTTCCAACATATCATCCAGTAATCATCACACCATTCACACTATACAGTGTGAGCTATAGACAGCAGCTCTAAACTGAGATGTGAGTCTATTCTGGGATCTATAGAGTTCAGCTGCATTACCTGTCTGCTCAGCAAGTGCAAGGAAGCTGCCAAGACAGGCAGGGACCACGTCATCTGAGAAGAAATCAAGGAGCAAGTAGTTGGAAGTGGACGTGAAGGCATGGGACGTCACACGCCCCGACAGATAAGCCACCAGGGTGGCTGCCAGGGAGTCACCATCCCGCACCTTGAGCCACTGCCTTCCACATGGCAGCCGCAAATGCACAACGGTCAGCCGGATCACTGATCCTGCATCTGCCTATGATAAGAATCACATTACTGTGACCACACAAGAGTCACTTACTGTGCAGATGCAAAAATATTGAACCTGATACTTCAGAGGAGTAGCTGAAATGATATTCACCCACAAAAGAGCATTCAGTAACATCTTTTTTGTTTGTGACAGGTGTAGAGGAATATAACTTTATAGGTTCACCCAATAATTGTCTATTTTGAGAGACATGTGGGATTGTATTAAACAGTATAATATTAAATAGTAGGGGTCATTTTGTCGAAAAAGAAGCAGAGATTTTGAAGCAAACAGCTCCTTTCAATACCATTCACTGTGGATGGGCATAACATCACAGGATGTAATGAATGACTGTACAAGATGGTGTAATCTTTTTGTTGATTTGTAGATGGAAATCTTTTAATGTAAGATTTAAATTTGCCCTGTGATTCCAGAGACCTGACTTTCAAGTTATACAACACAGATAGAACTGAAAGTGAAATGAATTTCAGCCTGAAATGATAAAATATGAGCAGAATTCATATTTCTCTAAGAGGAAGTATATTCATCAATTTTGAGTTTACATGCCATGAGCTTGATGCCCGTACTGTCTAGATATGGCTGATGAAATGATCTGCATATATTTGTTTGTGTGCAGGTGTAGGAAGCCATATCAGGAGACTTACCTGAATAAGCCAGAACGTCCTGCCAGGACAGCTGGCTGTTGATGTGGCAAGAATGCGTCTTGGCTTGGCAACACTGAGATGGACAACACAGCCACAGCGGCATCCTGGGCCCACCTCGGCCACGACTCCCGGATGGTCAACAGGCAATGAAGATGAGGGTGAGAGGAGACAGCCCCAGGACTCAGTTCCATCTCTGCAGGATTCTGACTGTAGGGATGGTCCCTGAAACAGTTCCCGCACCTCTGTAACTGTTAGGGCATGAATTATATTCCCATCTTGCACTGAACTCTTTAGAGAGGGAGAGAAAACGAACACGGGGTTTGTCCACATTGTAATGATTTGTAATTTAAAGAAATCCTGACATTTGTGATCAACGTTTCGCCTCCATCTTCAGGATCAAAGAGTAAGCAAAGCAAGAAACCAGAAAGAAGCAGGTGTCACCATTTCTTCTGACCTACACAGTGTCATCATGAAAACTCACAGACACAATGTCCAGATGGCGAAGAGCCTGTAACTATGAGCGAAATATCTCATAGGTAGCACAGAAACTGTGAAGTCTAGAACAGTACATTCAAGAAATTATGCTGCATTGAGATTTTCCTCCTTGCTCTTAGGCACCGGTATATTTGCAACCAAAATTCTATTCTCTATATGTCTATCCCATCTTTCCACTCACCTCACAGAACCTGGCGCCGTACCTGGGAGCCGGCGAGTCGCACAATCGGAACCTGCTTCGTGTGCCGCCCCCACAAGAAGAAGTGCAGTGTGTCCAGGGGCTCCAGGCACCCCATCCCCCAGTGTCTGACTCTACGAGAGACCAACGCAACGGAATGGAGTGGGTATCAGAAGAGGAGGAGATAAAGAAATAAAGAAAAGACAACAGAATATTAAAAAGGAAAAGTACGAAGAATATTAGACATGCCTTTCCAGGGCCCCATACTTTTATTCAGCTTTTATCCTTCTGTAATTTAGTTTAGCTGCGAACCAAAGGATATGGGTTCAATTACCGGCAGGATGAAGACACTTCTCTCTTCTCACCTCAATGGTCTGACCAGCTGTCAGGTTTGCCCCGCCTCCTCTCCCATGGGTGGCAAGAGTTCTTGTCCTGGGGGTTAAGCTGACCACTGACCCTTTCTTGTGGGCTACTTAGACTACATTGCATCAAATGGCAGGTTGGCCGATGAACTGGAAAGGAACTGGAAAGAAGCCTACAATCTCGGTACATAAATAACGTGACTGAGAAAAAACACTCAAATTCTCACTCGGGATAATCGGTGTCCCAAGCGAGATTCAAACATAGCACCGCTCAAATACAAGTCTAGAGCGTTACTTTTAGACCACCCTGCTCGGTACCAGTCACAACCATCCAGTGCTGATATCAAGAATGATTTCAGGTATGCCTCCATTCCCCCATACGTCTTCTGGGCGTGGTGCTTAATTAAGCACAGTTTACTTTAGTGTGTATACAGATATGGATAAAGAGACGCCACCCCGTCAGGCTCCAGAACCGGTTGCAATTTCAGTAATGAATTCTCAAAACTCGACAAACTCACACTGAAACATGTTCTAATCTCTCAATTAGAGTTGCTTTACTGCGCCGCAATAAAACAGCGGTTCATTACAACTGGCCTCGTGGGGCCGCTGTAAATGCAGGAAGGAAGGGCGCGTCCTCACGTAGTCCCTATTATTACGTCATCAAGATATGTGGGCGCCAGTCGGGCACATGTCCACCTTGTGGCGGGAACGGCAGTGACAGTGAATAGGCTGAGTTAGAGACCAGGGTTCGATTGACGTAGTGGAAGTCATTACCTCCTGAAGACCAAAGCTGGTATACGAGTATACTACATTTGGCTACTTCCGGTATTGACACGGCGGCGGGAAATTCAGACGTACTTAAACAACAAATTTCTTCCGTCAGGTTGCCTACACCAAGTGTGACGTATCCTCGTCTGTACAGTGGATGGACTTCAATATATTAGAGTAGGTCACGACCATTTATTTTCCAATTCATTATTCACAGCCATCTTCCCATGAACTGCTGCATAATAACTGAAAACTAGAAAGGGTGTCCTGGCGGTAATGCTCTAGATTGTGTACGGGAGGCTCTAAATTCCAATCTCGGCCGAGGTTTTCCCAGTCTTCCCTAGTCTCTGGGGGGAAAATGCGGGAATGTACCTCGATTAGGCCATTACAGCTTCCTATCAGATCCCTTACAATTCATCAAATATCCTACCGTTTGACACTATGCAGTCGTTAAATAAAACGGAGGGAGCTCGACGTTTCGGAGGAGTACATCATCTTCAGGGTGAAAGAGTAAGCCAAGCTAGAAGCCAGTTGAGCTTTGTTGCCTGCTTCTGCTGGTGTGTTCCTTGGCTCTCTTGTCGACCCGGAAGGCAGAGGCAATGTGTTCCTCCGAAACGTAGCGTTCCCTCCAAACTACACGACATTACAAACCGTAAGCCCGCGCTCTTGTTGTGTGTATGTATGCACAGGTTCACTTGCAGCGCTGAATCAGTTTGTATTATACAGAGTGGTTAGGGATTTGAATCCTGGATAAAGTGAAATGGCAAGATGTATAGATAACCAGTGACTTCACCAGGAGAGGGCAGAGAGCACAGCGGTTGTCCAACAAAAATGTTTACAAATCAATGCTCATAGAAATGTGAATTTTTAAGTGCTCTGTACACAGTGTGCTTCTTTCAGGAATTTGTGTTTTTCCTGCCCTTTCAATGTTGTAGTCAGTTTTGTGGTGCATGTGTTCAAGAGAAACCCGTACCTTGCACGGGCATGGTGGGCACACAATCCATCCGCACGTCCGTCACGGCGCCCGTTACAGCCTGGTTCACGTATACGAAGCAGTACTCGATGTAGCGCTCCGAGAAGTAGTCGCAGTCGAACCGGAGGCTGTGGGCCCCGGGGGGAACACGCTGCTCCGCTACGTAGTGCAGTGACGTGGGGGGCGCCAGGGACGCAACGTCGGCCCGCAGCTTGGCAAACAGTCGCACGCGATCCACGCGTGGCTCACATGCAGGATACTGGAACAGCACAGCCACGCCCCCGTCCAGAGAGTCGCAAGGCAAGATGCTCCGCGCATGCACGTTGAACACGAACCTGTCGCTCACTGCCACCTGCAACACAGCTCGGTCACGTCAAGGGAAGGGACACTGGGACAGGACAGCCGCGCCCCCGTCCAGATGCTCCGCGCATGCACGTTGAACACGAACCTGTCGCTCACTGCCACCTGCAACACAGCTCGGTCACGTCAAGGGAAGGGACACTGGGACAGGACAGCCGCGCCCCCGTCCAGATGCTCCGCGCGTGCGTGTTGAACACGAACCTGTCGCTCACTGCCACCTGCAACACAGCTCGGTCACGTCAAGGGAAGGGACACTGGGACAGGACAGCCGCGCCCCCGTCCAGATGCTCCGCGCGTGCGTGTTGAACACGAACCTGTCGCTCACTGCCACCTGCAACACAGCTCGGTCACGTCAAGGGAAGGGACACTGGGACAGGACAGCCGCGCCCCCGTCCAGATGCTCCGCGCGTGCGTGTTGAACACGAACCTGTCGCTCACTGCCACCTGCAACACAGCTCGGTCACGTCAAGGGAAGGGACACTGGGACAGGACAGCCGCGCCCCCGTCCAGATGCTCCGCGCGTGCGTGTTGAACACGAACCTGTCGCTCACTGCCACCTGCAACACAGCTCGGTCACGTCAAGGGAAGGGACACTGGGACAGGACAGCCGCGCCCCCGTCCAGATGCTCCGCGCGTGCGTGTTGAACACGAACCTGTCGCTCACTGCCACCTGCAACACAGCTCGGTCACGTCAAGGGAAGGGACACTGGGACAGGACAGCCGCGCCCCCGTCCAGATGCTCCGCGCGTGCGTGTTGAACACGAACCTGTCGCTCACTGCCACCTGCAACACAGCTCGGTCACGTCAAGGGAAGGGACACTGGGACAGGACAGCCGCGCCCCCGTCCAGATGCTCCGCGCGTGCGTGTTGAACACGAACCTGTCGCTCACTGCCACCTGCAACACAGCTCGGTCACGTCAAGGGAAGGGACACTGGGACAGGACAGCCGCGCCCCCGTCCAGATGCTCCGCGCGTGCGTGTTGAACACGAACCTGTCGCTCACTGCCACCTGCAACACAGCTCGGTCACGTCAAGGGAAGGGACACTGGGACAGGACAGCCGCGCCCCCGTCCAGATGCTCCGCGCGTGCGTGTTGAACACGAACCTGTCGCTCACTGCCACCTGCAACACAGCTCGGCCACGTCAAGGGAAGGGACACTGGGGATTGCAACTGTAAGCAAACAGCAACCGGACGATGGCAGCACCAGTCGGACTGGCGTAGCGGTAACGTTGGGGACTCGAACTGGGAAGCTGCTCGACCAGGATGTCGGCCGGGACAAAGGCTATGCAGACCGAGGTTTTTCGCGGGTTTCCTCGGAACCTCCAGACAAGTGCTGAGACAATTCCTGAAATTGGTCAGGATCGCTTGCGTACAGATCCTTTCCAAATGATGCCGTACAGTCTGGCTACTGACAGACTGCAGACAGGTTCGAACCTCGGCCCGCACAAAGTGGAAGTGGTGCTAGAAGCAGGAAGAGGACGGAACTAAGAGGAAGAAGGGGAGAAGAGAAGAAGGAGAGAATAATAGGGAGAAGAACAAGGAGAAGAAATAGTAGTAGAAGAAGAAGAAGAAGAAGAAGAGGAAATATGAGAAGGAGAAGATGAGAAGAAGGAGAGAATATTAGGGAGGAGGAGGAGAAGAGGGCGAAGAAGAAGTAGGAGGACAAGAGGAAGGATGAGAGGGAGAAGAAGAGGAGAATAAGAATAAGGAGTAGGAGAAGAAGAAGAGGAAAGATGAGTGGACGACGAGGAGAACAAGGGGAGAATAATATGGAGGAGGAGGAGGAGAAGAGGAAGGAAGATGGAGCAGAGATGGAGAGGAGAACAAGGAGGTGGAGGGGAGGAGACACGCGGGCTGTTTGCGGCCCCGTACCTTGATGTGAGCTGGCTCACTCTCTATGACCGGAACCGATGTGTACAGCTTAGAGCGCAGGGTCAGCACATAGTGGCCCGCGAGCCCGAACAGCTCGCACTTGAGGACGAGGTCGCGGCGCCTCGGGTACCCGAGCACCTGCTGCGAGAATATCACCTGCAAGCAGGAGCACAGACATGTCAGAGAAAGGAACAGAGGCTCGGATGACGGACTACGGGGCGAGCAAGACACTGCACCTGTGTGTTGGTGGCGTTGCCGTCAGCGCAGCCTGCCGGCGAGTGTCCGCAATACAACAGCTCTAGCCACAACTCCGGGATGACAGCCCCTGCTGCTGCGAAGCAGGTTGTGGGCGGGAACTCCAGGGAGGCCGTGACCGGAACTTCCGGGTAGGTCTGGGCATGTTGCGGCTGGAGGGCGAGGCGCGCGGCAGGCCACCGCACGTCCATCTCCTGGGCAGCTTCTTCCTGCGGCTCGGCAGAGAGCAGCACGACGCGGTAGCGCCCACCCAGCGTCACGACACCGCACGGGAACCTCACCGCCGTGGTGCTGTTGGCCACGGAAACAGCCGCAACGGCTGCGAAGCTCTGCGCAGCTGTGGCGCGCAGCAGCTGCAGACGGCCGTGCTCAGGTCGGGGCCCGATCAGTTGCACCTCCAGGTCTCCCGTCAGTGCCGTGTGGTTGTCGGGCAAGAGCAGTTCCAGGCACATCGCGTGCTCCCCTGCAACACAGGCAGCCCGACCGGCACACTCAACAACTCTGCAAAAGGAAGTCTAGGCGTAAAGCTGTCCCTGCGCTTAATTAGTCAGGCACTACACCACCATTCTTGACCTCGCCACTAGATGTAGGCAAGTGGGTGGCTTCACACCTCTGCCGCTTTATCCCCCCCCCCGTGTCCATATGATAGGAGGCTGGGTAGGCCCCAGACTCGACCTGGACGCTGTGTAGAAGAGAGAAATCCTGCACTCTCTGGTATCGAACCCCGGCCATCCAGCCCAAAGCCCGTCGCTACACCAACTGAGCTATCCCGACTTGAAGAGAATCAACTACCATTACAGAAAACAAAATGACAGAACTTTAACAATTCATCTACACGGTTACGGCACCCAAATTCTAAGCTGTGGATCATTTGCCTCCCAGTTACTTCATGCTGTTTCTTCGATCCTGAAGATGCAAGCGCTACTTTCCTCCGATACGTCGGTAAAATGCTATCGGACTACAGGGAGTCACATACCAGAAAACAGTACTTTCCGGTTGCATGTCTTATCTTTCGTGTTATTGCACTCGGATGGGTCTGCTTCAGAGGAAACGCTTAAAGTTTTGAAGACTTTAACTTCATTCTGAAGTTGCTGATTAAAAAGTTGAGTCGTCACACTGTGCGCCTGCTAATGGCCACTGGAATCAAGGTTCCATGCCTTCCCGATCGATGCGACAAACTGACGCAAGTGGCTATGAATATTTGAACAGTCTCTTTTGGGTTTGGTAACAACAGATTTCCATGCCGCATCCTTGCGCCAACCAAACCTCAAATTCTGCCAGATTACTTTCAGTTTTGTTTACTGCCCACTGTCCAACAGTATCAAGATTTAAAATGAAGTCATTTTAAAATCCGACACTGCGCTACATGTTTCGGCCTAGTCGGCCTCAATTCAAGGGAGGTGCTGTGTTTCCGCGCTACTACGATCAGTGTTTTCGTATTTAGAATGGACACGATACTGCGAGACCTCTAGCAAGAACGGCTCAACTGACAACTGGCGAATGATATGTCGATACACATAACCTCATACTTGAGACATTACACGAGCTTCACACAAGATGTCAGCACCCCCCCCTCCACCCGGTTACGTTATAAATGTGGGATTAGGCACGCTGAGTAGAACGACAAACACCGCGACTTCACGGTCAAGGGGACATACGTGAACACAGGGAAATTAACTAACTTGGGGAAACACAAAATGTAGCAGAATTAGCTGTAATTGTAATGTTCGTTAGATACTGCAGGTGATAACTACACAACACACATACACCCATGCCGCTGAGACCTCAAACCATGTCGTTTTGATGGGTGGACGACGACCCAAAGGAAAATATTGAAATTTTAACTAAAATTTTGACTTGTTCTTATTGACTGTAATTAAAGTCCGTTTGTTTCAAATATCGCATTCACACGCGACATGTGAAGTTGGACGTTGCAGCAATTTTACCGAATTAGAGACACCTGATGATGGCCGTGTACGGCCGAAACATGTTGTGACAAGCTGCATTATAGGCGCAAATAAATTGTATGACATAAATGACGATGCAAGAAACTGTCGCGAAGTTTCAAACGCAAAGCCATGATTCATTATGCTTAAACGGAAGAGGAAAGCTGTCCCTGACCTTCATCCACAATGCGTATGGGAGAGTGCAGCACAGCTCCACGCACTCTCAACTTTGACACTGAATGCAGATAAGTGGTCAGCTTCATGCCCCGGCTGATTACCGCTACGAAAGTTCTCTGGTGCCCATCAGATAGCAGACTACATGTGGTTGTGAAGAGAAAATTTTCTGCCTCTCTTGAGAACCGAACCCTGATTCGCTAGTCGTTCAGCCCATAGCCTAGGCGCCAGCTACTAGACCACAGGGACCCTTGAAATCACAGAGGTAACCATACACACCATCTGCTTTAACAATCAAATTCCGCATTTTGCCCGCGGTTAAGTTATCCAGTAGGCAGTGACCCGTTGATCTACATCAAAGGTGACAGCAATTGGTGCAGCCACTGTTCAGATCGTTTCGCAATTCCTCTGGGCGCAATGTAGCCTTCACTTGTTAAGTTTCTTGTTGTGCTCCTCCCCTTTTTGTACGCATTGACCCTCGTCTCTTGTTTTAGCAGTTCGTTGTACAAGTCGTTCTTGTTTCAGAACGAGTGCTGCTCGTAACGTGAGGCGCTGCTGCCGCAAGAAGCAATGAGTGGCCTAAGTCGCGTTCCGTTACGTGACGTGTCCCTCTCTTCTCTCTTTCTCTCTCTATCAAACGGCTACAGGGGGGTAAAGCTGGCCACTCCCCTCCATCTCGTGCCAAGGCTGAGAATACGTGGATCTACACATCCGCTCCCCAATGCGTCTTCATGGGGTAGTTAAAGCACAGGGGCTTAGCGTCACGAGCGCGGACTGTGCACAACTGAATGGTAGCATTGGGAGTGGATGGAAAAGGCCGTTCAGGTAGCATCCTGGCATTTTCCCGGAAATACTGAGGAAAACTGCGGAAAACTTAGGTCAGGAGCAGTGCTCATACATCATATCCAAAACACCTGGCACGGCTTACATGAGACCTGATGCGGCCTGCAGGTGGCAGAGCAAACTTGACATGAAACACCACACGACATAAAATGTAGGCCTCGCTTCCATATGCACGGGTTCCTTCTCAACGCGGTAAATACTGTAGTAACAAAAATGTTAAGTCAGTACTCTGAGTAGGCTATGAGGTGAATGACCGAGAAACCGGGGTTCGATTCACAGCAGGGGCAGGTATTTTTCTCTTCCCCACAGCGCCCACATCGGTTTTGGCCTCCGCTCCTCCCAGCTTCCTAGTTGATGTGTACGAGAGATTCTCTCAGCCCGGGGTAAAACGGCCCAAGCATGAAGCTGGTCACTAATCTCAATGTAGTACCGGGATGAAGAATGTGTGGTGCTATACCTCCAGTCCCCCCCATTTATGACGTGATACTTAATTAAGCACAGGTACATCTTTACCTTAAATTTTGAAAAAAAAATATTTTTCAAACTCGAAGCAGTGTTGCTGAGGTTCGATTCAATAGATGTGTATCTCGACAGGTCCACATGAGATATACACACTCCGCTGCTGGTTTCTAAGATACGACCAGCACTCAAGTGCACGTCACACCTCGAGCTGACAGCTATACGGAAGAGCAGTCCTGTGTGGGTTCGATGAGTTCTCCGGCTCCCTTCGCATGGTGAGCGAAGATTCCAGTAATTTTCTCTCGAATGACGCGTCAATGTCTGAAGTTTTATACTTGGCATAAAACAGCACTGCACCATTCAGTACTCATGGTTGCGAGGATGCCATAAATCGGAGCGACGCGAGACATCACTGTCACTTGTGCCACTGTAGCGCCAGGGGCCGACCCAGTTTTACGACCGGAAGCAGAGAATATGTCAGCGCGGTGCTCGCGGGAGCAGGTAGCGTCGCTCGGCGGCAAGAAGCAGAAACACTCGAGGCTTGTTCGCGTGACCGGCATCATTTGTTTTGTTTCTTGCGGCTCAGTTGTGGAGGAACGGGACGACCCCCACGGCTACCAACTTCCCTCCGATAAAAGTCAAGTTTTTGTTACTTACAGTTCAGTTTTTAGAGATACGTTCATTTTAAGGGTATCTTATAGTTCTAGGTTCACCCTGGACCGAACCACTACTCTCTGATGACATATGGGAACATGGAGGCAAAGCTCCATCTATTCTTATCTTCGGGTTTAGAAACGGACACTTCGACGCTCCAGCTAACTTACTTATGGAGGCAAAGCCCCTCTGGCTGCACTGTGTAGATGAATTCGCAAATCCCAGAGTCCACCTAGAGAGAATGGTGAAGGGAAGAAATGAAACATTATCATGGGGGTTAAAATTCGGCTGACCTGCCCTGCTCTGTCCAGTCACTTTACCTACTGAGCCATCGTAGTGAAAAACTGCTGCACTGTTTTCTTTCTTTTCCTAACTTTCCTATATCTAAAACTCACTGAATTCTGCTCAAACTAATGGACCTAATAAGGCTACTTTTACATACTCGTATATGACGCACGGAACTATTCCTTACTTAATTTCTTCCAGTAAATTCCACTGCATTTGAAATTCTCACGGCGGTAATTATGAAGAGGTCTGATACCGCTACCAACGTCTCTTAGGATCTTGAAAGGCATTGCATCCCAGAAAATATCAATCTCCCTTCTGCCCCACTCCAGGTTAAGTCCACCTGCTCTCCGAACTAGGACACGTCACACCTTGCGTAGGCAATCTCAGGTAGGAAACTCCTGTGTTCATGACTGAGTGACTATGGACGGGGTTTGTATTAGTGACTGGATTTACTGAACGCTTTTTAGCGCGCAACTCGTGACCACACACAGAGCAGCGTTCTCAGTCGCGGTCTGCACTGCGCTGCTTGCTAACTTCTCCCAACGGCGGACGTTCCTCTGTTCCCACGCTCACGCCCTCGCAGGCTGGCGGCCATCTCACACCAACCTCCTACTCTTCTAACTGCCGTCTCAGGACTCTTTCGTAATAGTAGCTGCTACTTGTTATATAGTCCCTACACGGACCGCACCGAAAACACCTCTTCAAGTACTGCGTGTTCTCTCGTTGGTGAGGAAACGTGTTCACAGACTCTTCCCTAGCAAAGGTTGTTGTATTGTCGCCTGTTTACACAGCCGTTACTCATCAATGCCTGTTTCTCGGGATCGGCCGTTCTTGCTTGCAAATACGCAACAGTAGGTTCGGAATCCCCACAGCATGTGAATCCCGGAAGTGTTCTGAAAACATAGTTCAGTAACTCTCCAATAATAATAATGTAACCGATGATGACGTAGGCATACTCCCGCAGGAGATCAAGTGTGTCTTGTTCTGTGGCCATTTTCCTTCCTTCAGGACATTTCTGCCCTTCACAATAATCATGTGTCAGCACCACAGAAACAAAACCGCTAGTTGTGAGCCCATGAAAAAAGTATATCCAATGAAA